ACGAGACCTTTTTCCCCCAAAATCTATAGCTACCAAAACAACCTTCTCTTATAATTATCCATAATCATAATGTATCTGTATTAGCTATACTTTATACTTATTTGTACTCTATATAAAAAATACACATATACCCAGGGGATTATGTGCATGTGGGTTCTGAAATGGGCTGGGTCTCACTGTTTCCTTCGTGATCCAGCCCAGTTTCAGCAACATAAATATAAAAAATAAAAATAAAAATAGTGACGGAGGGCTGCCTCTGTAACCAAACAGGAAGGGCAGAAATTAGCCCTTATTCCGGATTAGGGTTAACTCTTCAGCATCCAACTACCTCTGCAATCTTGGGCGCCAAACCTTGCAATTCTCCTTCTTTCTCTATTCCGTTCAACAGGTAAAACTTGCTTTTACCCTTTTCACCCCTTCCTCTTCGAACCCCCATCTCATGATTGTTTTTCCTTTCTTTGTATTTTCTCTTTTGGGTATCTTTGAAATCACAGAAAATTTTGAATTTTTGCCTAAATTCTGCCACTTTGAATCAAAATTTCGAAACCCATGTTGCTGTAATGATTCATTTTAAGCCAAGTTTTCGTCTTTTTATAGAAATCCCAGTTGGGTTTTGTGATTGGGAAGTGAATCTAGTCTTTCTTTCTTGGTGGACTGAATTTGGTTAAGAATGCTTTTTCATTCTTACGAGTGAGATTCAGTTGATAAGAGTAGAAATAATTGGTTGGGAATTGTCTCTGTTGGAGTTACTTTCTAGGAGGAAAAATGGGTACTCAAATTCCTGCAACTAATGATCGAACAAGAACATATTGGACCCCGACTATGGAGCGGTATTTCATTGATCTTATGTTAGAGCAAATGCATAGGGGAAACAGGATGGGCCATACGTTCAACAAGCAGGCCTGGACAGACATGCTTGCTGTATTCAATGCAAAATTTGGGTCACAGTATGACAAAGATGTCTTGAAAAGTCGTTATACAAATTTGTGGAAGCAGTTCAATGATGTAAAGAATCTTCTTGGCCAGACTGGTTTCTCTTGGGATGAAGCTCGACAAATGGTCTTAGCTGATGATTATGTCTGGAATGATCACATCAAGGTGCTGGAAATAATTTCTTTATTCACATGAATTAAATTTCTTCGCTAGTTACAGTAAATTAATGTGAGATACATGCAGGCTCATCCTGATGCTCGTTGCTACAAGACAAAACCGGTGCTGAATTTCAATGATTTGTGCTTGATATATGGATATACAGTTGCAGATGGAAGGTACAGTCGTTCCAGTCATGATGTAGACTTTGATGATGAAGTCCAAGGATTAAATCCAGGTTTGAATCATTTGTCATTTTCCCAGTATTAATATTCTTTTTTATTTCAAGTTGTCCTTCTATGGTGTTCCCTTTTATTGATGAAAACCTTGTTGGTCTGTGGGAAGATGAAAAATTAGGGAGCTTTGTTTTTGTGCTCTTGCTTTCAAGTCAAGAAGGAAGTAGAATGTGCTTAATCCTCAAATATTATAACAAAGTACTCCTGTGTGATCATCACAGTGATTCCTAGTCACCTGTTTAGCCAAAAATTTAGCCATTAAGAATTACCTACTTTGAAAATATCATAAATAGGTGACCAGCTTTCAATCTGCTCTATGCTAAGCTCCTCTGATAATTATGGTTTGTTGTTTCTTGAAATTTTTTTCCCATCCTTTTTGGTAAATGATTGACTTCCTCAATTAAAAAAAAAAAGTATTAATGGCATTAAAAATCTGAATAATGGATTTGATAGTTCTCTTCATTTTTTTAAAAAGTTTTTTAGGGTGTTATTTTGATAATCAATTAATGGGACTTTATCCTGCAAACTAAGATAATGATTTTGTTTTATGCTCTCAAGTTGTAGGTGAAGGAATAGGAAATCTTCCCCACACCAATACTGAGCGTTCAAGAACTGAATGGAGTTCAGAAATGGACCAGTTTTTTATTGAGCTTATGCTTGATCAAGTAGGAAGAGGCAATAAGACTGATAATACATTCAACAAACAAGCATGGACAGACATGCTCACCATGTTCAATGCAAAATTTGGCTCTCAACATGGCAAGAGGGTTTTGAGACATAGATTCAAGAAGCTTTGGAAGTACTACAGTGATGCAACAGTCATCCTTAAACGCAATGGCTTTTCCTGGGATGATGCTCAGCAAATGATCACAGCTGAGGAAGATGTTTGGGATGCTTATATCAAGGTACAAGCTCATGAAAGTACATGATACCTACATGCACTTTTATATGTAATCATTTATTGACCCTAATAAATTGAATGTAGGCACATCCTCATTCGCGAACATATAAGATGAAAACCTTGCCAAACTACAATGATTTGAGCTTAATATTCGGGGATGCAATTGATGAAGGAAATCTTGGAAATTTGCCTCAGGAGTGTAACTTTTCAAGAAAGAAGGGGGGTGAGTTGTACTTCTTTAATCTGAGTAAAGTTACCTCTGCTTTGCATTGTTTGGCATCGTTTTCCAGTTACTTTTAACTGACTAAGAAAACTATGGGTCCATGATATCCTGTCTTTCAACCATGGGTCCATATTTATCAGTTGCTCTTTTGTTCAACTAGATTAGACACTTTAGTTATGAAGTTAGCTATTGAAATTATGAAACCATGTGCCGCATTTTATTCATTGATCTTCAGTGATCTGGTTCCCAGTATTATGTTACTTAAGAACCAAAGAATAATTTGATTAATGAATTGTTAGTGGTTGATCTTTGTATCAGCAGGTGAAGAGAAGGGAAGTGCAACTCCTAGTGATCCTCGTACAAGAACTTTTTGGACCCCACCAATGGACCGTTTTCTCATTGACTTGTTGCTAGACCAGGTATACAATGGAAATAAACTGGGACAGACATTCATAACCCAGGCATGGATCGAAATGATTGCATTATTCAATGCAAAATTTGGATCTCACCACGATAAAGAAGTTCTCAAAAATCGATTCAAACATTTGAGGAGAATGTACAATGAGATAAAGCTTCTGCTTGGGCAGAGTGGGTTCTCCTGGGATGAAAAACGGGCTATGGTAACAGCTGAAGATAATGTTTGGGATTCTTATATCAAGGTGAAATGCTTTCTTGTCTTACTGTTACTGATTTCAAGGTTTAAGTTCCAACACTTACATCATAAGTTGCATGCAGGCACACCCAGATGCTAGATCTTACAGGGTTAAAACTCTGCCAAGATATGACAAATTATGTGTGATATTTGGAGAAGAAATTGCTGATGGGAGATATAATCGTTTAGCTCAAAATGTTGACCACAATAGCGAAATATCTGTTTTAATGACTGGCTCTGGTATGGATCTTTGATACTAGCTTGAAGAATATGGTAGTGGATGGCCATAAATGAATTTATTACCTCTTATATAGGTACATTTTGTTTATTTATGATTCATCTTAATATGTAGGTGATGAGAACAATGGTCATTTTTATACCAGTATTGACACACTGGACTTCAGTTGGACGCCCACAATGGACCTTTTTCTTATTGACCTTCTACTAGAACGAGTTTATGAAGGTAATAGGGTGGATTCACTCAATGAACAAGCATGGATTACCATGGCTGAAACATTCAATGAAAAATTTGGGCTTGACTGGGACAAAAATGTTCTAGAAAACCGATATATGTGCTTGATGAAGGAGCATGATGTCATCAACAAACTTCTCGACCACAGTGGGTTTGTTTGGGATGATACTAGGCAGATGATTGTGGCAGACAATGATGTCTGGGAAGCTTATATTAAGGTGTGTTCATCACTCATTATATTCCACTGTTTAAACTTTAAAGTGCTACAACTTTCCTTACATTTTTAATCACAGCGTTCCACTATGTGCTAAGAAGTTGTCTATGCATTAGTGCTCATTATTCATCTTTTGCAGGAAAATCCAGAGGCTGCTTCATACAGAAACAAACTTCTAGGCCATTATAGTAATTTGTGCAAGATTTTCCAAGATAAAATGTTGGATGAAAAACCTGGTGATGGGTTTCTGGGAACTGAAACTGACCATACAACCCCTGAATTGCTGATAGATGAACCAACTGAAGACTTGCAATGCCTGGTTGTGGATGTTCAGATGTCTAATCAAAGCAGAAAGCGCCCAGCAGGAACATCAGACTCTGGACAACCCAGCAAATCATTAAAAACTGAACAGGAGATGCAAAAGATGCTTTCAAAGGTGGCAGATGCAGTCACTACATTAGTGACCAAAAGAGATAATAAGAACTCTCAGACAATAGAAACTGCCGTGGATGCACTCCAAGCTCTACCGGACATGGATGATGAGCTATTGTTAGATGCTTGTGATCTGCTGGAAGATGAGAGAAAAGCAAAAACATTTTTGGCATTGGATGTTTCACTGCGAAAGAAATGGCTTCTGAGAAAGCTTCGTCCTCAGTTGTAGCCCTTTTCGTTTTACAGCTCCGGCGAATATTGATTATCCTGGAGGTTTTGTAATGAAGCAATTTTGGCAGATTATTTATTTCTACATAAATGATACCGATGCATAGCTTGAAAAAAATGAAAATATTTTTCCAAATTCAGATGCTGATTCTTTTCTAATTTTTCTTCCATAACTATTATGTAACTGATTTAAGATTGTTCACTGTACATTGTTGTTTCAAGATATCCGGAATATGGGACTCTTTAAGATGCCTTCTTCAAACAGGTTCCTTTGCCTTGCTTATGAAGATTGATCATGAAGGACTTCTCTCATACCATGAGGGGGACTCCTTCACATGCTGAACGTTATGTGAACGAAGTTTGATAATATATGCCTAACAGCAATGATCAGAAACATAAGTCTCTCCTGTGTTTGGTTTATTTTTGGTCCCGATGAGGAGATCCAATCCAAACCCTGCTATTCCTCCTATTGAAATGGTGGACAGCCAAGTTGGGAATGATTCTCCGGAAAATGAAGACATTGAACTGGTTTCCCATGTTAACAGTGCTGATGTAGGTAGCCCATACAATAGGCCATTTAGACATCTTCCGGAGGACATGAAACTAGAAGAAACATCTGGATATATTATTACTCCCATCGTCTCAAAATGTCGTTTGTTATCTTTTTGCTGAATTTGGTCTGTCGAAAGAAGAAGATATTTGGGTTCGGCTCAATCATTTTTAGCATTCGAGCTTTACTTGCAGCTCCATAATATGGAGCCTCAGCATCTGGATTCATGGAATAGGTCTCTTTTCAGGAATTTTACCAAACAATCAGTCACTAAAAAATGTTTAGTTTTGAAAGCTCAAATAAAAACACATCTAACTACAACATGGCTAATCAAAAACCACATCCTCTTATAGGTTATAAAATGACATTTTATATTCTGGCATCATCCAGACGCCACTTCTGCAATAGCAGATTCTGCAACGTTCAAAATGTCCATCTCAAAGATTCAGAGTTCAAACCATCCTACGTGGCTGCAGAAACCAACTACGGAAGTATCCATGGCTGGAAAAGAAATTATACTTGGAGGCTCATTTTATTCGCCGTCTCCTATCTCTGTCTGATCTATCTCTGCCCCTATCCCGGTCCTGATCATCCCTTTCTCTGCTTCCACTCTTTTCATGGCGGTCTCGCTCCTTATCTCTCCCCCTTTCAACTTCCAGATCACGAGCTCTATCCCTGTGCCTTTCACGGTCCCTATCTGAATCATTTTCTCTATCTCTGTCTCTGTTTGATGATTTCCTTGGGGGGCTCTGACTTCGGCTCTGGCTGCGGTTCCGCTTTCTTGAAGAGTCTTGAGGATCGTCTCGTCTGTCTCTCCTCTCTGAAGATGTTCTCTCTGCAGTTACAAACAGGATAAGGAACCTTGGTTAAATCATTAACCAGAATCTTGCAAAGAGAAATTGAAGGAGTCTAGGATCAAAATAACAAACTGAAAAACTAACAGCACATGAACTAAGTCTATGTAGAATGTGCAAACTTACTGCTTCCTGAAACATCAGCAGTTGAATCTGATAAGCCATATTCAGATTCAAGCCGCTTCCGATATGTGGCAACCTTTTTCTCAATTTCCTCTGCACTTCTGACTCCCTGCTCCTCAAGGGATTCTCGGTATTCTATCAAAGCCACCTCAAGGCGTCTCAACTTTTGCCTGTGGTATAAGCACAGTCAAGCAACATATATGGTTATGATCAAACCTTGTGTACATGGAGTCATGGACTGCATGAGGACATTAGATCAAACATGTCAACAAGAACATTTAAAGCGTCATACCTTTGCTCTTCATTCATTCCAGTGTCAGGTTGAACTGGAATACTTACATCAGCCGCAAACTCCACCTCATCAGACTTGCTAACACCATCCCCGACATTTTCACTTCCAGAAGATGAATAGCTCAACCCCAGACCTCTGGCATTTCTCTTTTCTTCATCATCACTTTCATCATCCTCTCTAGCCCATTTAGAGGTTGGCAAAACAGGATCGTTTTTCTCTTTCTTAGTAAATGCTTTTAGTTCAGGCTGTGGAATCAGAAGTGTGTCAGCCATATGTGCAGATCCTTTACGTAGCGATTGCATCTCATCCTCACTATAGTGACTCCATCCAGACAATCCCACAGGTTCTGGGTCAACGCTAGTTTCTCTCTGACCACTTGAATATCTACCAGAACCCGAACGAGTCTGAGACAACTTCAAGTCATCATCTAATTCGTAACTCCTCTGCTTTTCAGCATCTTCCAAACTCAACAGTCTTGCAACCATCATTTCTCTACCACCAACAAGAGATAATCCATTATGCCTACAACGTCTCTCCAGCTCAGCAAGCGGAAGATCCATCAGCTCCTTCATGGCTGCTCCTTTCCCCATTGCCAAAGCAGCATCTTGATTGTTCTTAATACCATCACCTCTATCTTCTGAACCTGGCTTCTTTTCTATTTCAGGTGCATCACCACAAAGAGAATGAAAAGGGATCACACCACAGTTTCCTGGTCGCAGAAAAGTTGCCCGCAATCCATTCACGTATGCATCCGAGAAGAGAAACCAGTCGGACCACACTTGCAATACTTTCAGAACACGTTCCTTTAGAACCACAGACGACAGAAATAGAAACAGATAAAAGGCACAGATTTAGTGCTTGCAAATGAATTTACTCTAGCATCTTACCATAGAGGCAAAACAACCTAATTGAAAACAAACTAGAAACAAGATAGAAGTAAACATTTGTAATTACCTTAAGGGCTTCAGCAGTGATCCTTCCAGTTATACTACGGTACAAGTCATTAAAACTCTCCATTATGTCAGGTAATGCTGCTTCAAATCTAGTGCGGTATGCAGATGCATTTTTTACAGGAGCACTACTATTATGAAGAATATCAGATACAAGCATGAGCCTTGCAACTTTTGTTGGAATAGGTGTTTCCTTAAGAGTCAAAGACTCTGTCAAAACTTCAACTACCTGCAAAAGAAAGCAGAGAAAAACAATTAAATTGAAGCATCTAAAAGATATAAAAATAAGTTACAGATCAACTTTTAGAACTTCATAACAGATTTTCCTGTCACTTACAAATTTTCTTCTGTTTTGAAGAGCACAATTTTCTATAAACTGATGAATAAGACACAATAGCATAAAATTGAATGAATCAGATGAGTCATATGCAAGCATTACCTCTCCAGCTGCATCCGCGTTATCTAAAGCAAAACCCATTGCTTCCTTTATCTGACTCCTCTCTAATGTCAGTGCGCGAAGCATATCCTCAAACTCGTCCCTCTGTGGATCAGTCAGTGTTCGTTCTGGCTCCACACGCTGCACAAGTTTATAAAAAGAAGATATCTAATTCTGTTTTATTAAAATTCAAAAAAGTGCAAGAGTATATTCATCTCTCAGATTTTCACAAAGAAAAAAGTACCCTGCTTCTTCCTCCAGCATATGTGGTACCAGAGTCCTTTTCATGCTCTGGGCTTTTTGCAACAGGCAGAGATGGTGGCATCCATCTAGAAAAAGAAACAATAAACATTGCATCAGCAATGTGATCTAACTCAACTTACACATCAATGTTCATGAAATTATGAATGTAACTTGGCACAGTGTGACTAGAAACATTGGATGTATGTTACCTTCCACTACCAGTGATCATGATAAAAGGTTCTGTCCGCCACCTTTGAAGCGTATCACCCTACATTTTCAACAATATTTCAAAATTCTTCAGTGAATCCCCTCTTCAGATTATAGAACACAGACCAAAACATAGTATAATTACTTTACACCAGAACAAGAGTCAAAAAGTTACAAAAATCAATTGCATAAAATATAGGATGCACCTGACCTGAGCAAAAGAATAGAGCCTCCAGACATAGTAAGTATGTTCCTTTGAGCCAAGCTCAAATAGGAAATTGAAAAGAGGATTGCCACGACCTCTCTCCATGATAGCTTGTTCAAAAGAACATCCTCCATCAAGAACATATAGAGCCATTGTATCAATTATATGGTGGAGATGAGGATCCTCAGGTGGAACAACCATAATGTCAGGTACATTTGGAGTTAGAACCTAGCACCAGAATGAAATAACCAACATGTAAAGAAAACGATGAACTAAAAGTAATCTCTCCAGGGCAGAACCACCCCCCACAACCACTAAAGAAGGTAAGGTCAGTAACTTTGAAATGCAGATAAAATTTATGAACAGAATTAGGAAGAAGATTTTGCATTGTTTCAACAGTCCAGTAACCCATTCAATATTCACAATCAAAAGTCTGTTAATCTTTTCCTTAAACAGATACTCTTATAGAAACAAGTAAAAATGCAGGCCCATCCAAATCTACATTTTAACTGCAGGGCTGGCCTGTAGGAAGGAAGACAGCTTTTAAGCATCAAGTAAAACAGACAACATTAAGCACTTAGTAAGCCATAATTATTGGCACCAAATAAAATAAATGAGAAACTCTCCTCTGAAAACGCCTTTTTGTAAGAGAATAAATCAATACAGCAATAACAGGAATTAAGAAAGTACACAAAGAAACTATACCAGTTCAGAATTCTGATTTGGAACAGATGTGACTGGTGGGCCAGAAGGACCAGAGAGGACTACAGTAGCACCCTGCAAACCACAAAAAGAAATGAATGTGACTTAAAAGATAAAAAGAAAGAAAAAATGAGCTATCAATTCAAACAGAGGCTGTATTTATTACACCATTAAAGAGAATTAACTATGAAATATCATTTAAAATGGTTGAGAAAGAATACAAGCAATCAATTTAAGAAATAAACGTCCAAGATTTTCAAAAAGGCATAACTGACCTCCTTACTCCTGATAGCCATCTGCCCTGGTGGGGGAGCAGGTAAAGCTTGTGAAGGTAGAGCAACAGATTTACCCCATCCAATTTTCAACTCATACTCATAAACAACAACTCCTGTTAGACAAAAACTATGTCGTCAATGCTTTAAAGTCCTAGCGTGCTTCAAATACAATTAAATAGAAATCATAGCCATCTGTTAGCAATCAATACATTACAAAAGTGAAAATAAACCTTGCATTTCATCTTTTGCAGCTTGTCCGTCAGCTCTATTCATAAAAGCTACAAAGCCGCAATTTCGTTGCCGTCTTCGCTCTTCCTCTGTCCTGGGCCACATAATCTTCACACTAGCAATAGGCCCAAATCTTCCAAAAGTCCGCAGAAGAAAATTCTCATCAACCTAAATTAAAAAGAATAACAGAAATGGACGGAGTTACTCAGTACATGGTAGCCATGAAAGTGCCAGAGCCTGAAAGAAGCAATTTCAAAACAATACTCAAACCTTTGGTGAGAGATTTCCAACATAGAGATTTGTTGTTTGCGGATCACCATCATCAAAAGATCCAGGCAGTTTTCCACTTGGATCAAAATCATCAGGTAGCTCATCAAAACGACTAGATGGCTGTAAATGTAACAACTATGTATTTTAGATTCATATATCTTTATGAACAACAGAAGAATCAAAATACAGGTAAAATCAAACCCCATGAAAATACTTACAGCAGAACTGTCACCATGGCGCCCATCACGTGAATGGTCTCGTTCCTGGTTTCGCCTCTCCCTCATTTCTTGTTCATGCTTCAGCTCCTCCATAAAATGATCTATATTCCGGGACTTCCCCTTATCTTTTGGCCTATCTTCTTCCTTCTACAAAGTACATGCAAATAAAAAAAGTTTAATTGCACTTATTACAAGACTGAATAAGTCAGTTGAGTATGATATAGAAATATATCACATGATGTCCTTAAGTATATTCACCTTCTTCTCAGATTCTTTTCCCTTGGCAGCCAAAGGCGGTGGTATGAAAGATGGAACATACCTGCAGAAATGATATGATAATAAACTTCCATATATCAAGACAACATGCTTAACACCTTTTCGCCCATGTTCTAATAAAGCTTCAATGTAATTTCTCTTGAATCTATATCTATTACTTATGAAACATTATCTGCAACTTTTAAAATGTTGGATCTGTTTTCAGATAAAATTTTACTGCATAATGCACATACATAAAAATGCTTAAGGCATCTAATTCCAACATTTTTTATGGTTGCTATTTCCCAAGTGACTGTTGTTCATATTGGGGCTGAAATGAACTTTTTTTCCTCTGTGCCTATGAGCAATTGTACATATGCTCTCTAAATTTTCAAAAATCATTTACTAGTTTAGAAAAAGGCTTAATTGAGTTGATTAAATTCGAATTTAGCACCTAACTAACCAAAAGTGAAGGATAAAATTTCCAAATTCATTACTAGTTTGGCAAAACACAAGATGGAACTCAGGACATAGAGTTTCCATTACCCCTTTAATTATCTGAGCTGTGAACTTTATAGATATCCTTATATTTCATTAATGAGGACAACTTACAAGCATGAAATAGGAGAAGTATCCATGAAAAATATCAAATAGAAAAGATATGAATATGCTATGCCAAATTAGCAGGGAAGCCATTCATTTTGCGCTTAGATTAAATGAAGAAAATATCTTTTGCATACATAACTCTAGTATCCACCAACGTGCAACTTTAACAAGAACAAGAGTGATACTACTTTCTTGAATTTTTGAGATCTTGCATTAATCATTTTAACCTATTCAAACATAATTACACATAAAAAACTGCAATCCAACACTTCTTTACACAATCTGAAAACCTAAAACATACATGGTGACAATCTGAGGATATCATATCACCACCAAGTACTTCTTCTAGGTATGAATTACAATGCCTCACCAAATAAGCATTATCATTGCAGCATCAGCACAGTTAATCAAAAGCAATCATTTACCTACTTCCCTTCTTTGGAACAGATACCCCATCTTTGGACCTTTCACCTGCCATCCGCGAATGCATAAAAAAGGCCCATATTTTTATTAATTTGTTCCCATAATAACATAAAAATCACTCTATTAATCCATAGCACAAAACTGAACATTGACACTTGAAAAAATAAATATATTTATATATATATATATTGAAAATGAAACTAAAAAATTAATAGTGAAATCACAATGTCAAGTCCCTGAGTTAAACTAACCTTCAGAATCCGACTTCAATCTATCGTTCGGATTGATTGTTCCTCCTCGAACAAAAGTCTTCGACCCCGGAGTGTTATCCCCTTGAAAAGACGCCACAAACTCCTCATACAAACGTGCTGTTTCATCCTCAGCTCTCTGATTATATAAAACAAACACCGAACAAAAATTTCATTAAGATGTATAATAATTGAAGGAGCTAAAAATATTTATGAAATAACATTACAGACTCTGACATTTTAGTTCCCATTAGTAAAGAAGAAATTTTAAAACAGATTTAGATATTTCCTTTGAAGCTGAGGAAATTTAGGTTTACCTTCTTCTTAGCTTCTTCCTCCTCTCTGTGCTTCTGGAAAGGCGTCTTCTTACGCGTGATTGAGAAGGAACTCATCTTCAACTAATTACTCTGCAGATTAATGAATCAAAATCAATTGATGACAAGAATCTGTAAGATTAAACCCCAAATTAATTCAATCCCTGACGAACAAACCCTAATAAGTAGCCATAACAAGAGAGATTGAAAATTTGTTTGAATCAGTAACTCACCAAATCGGAAGTCTGATGCGACGGAGAATATCGATTGGGTGAAGAGAAAAGAGAAGAAAAATAAAAAGAAAAATAAAAAGAAAATGGAATGAGAAAAATGGAGCAAACAGAACTTCACTGTGAACGAAATTTGAGGACTTAATATTAAGGCAAGTTGTTTCGTGGGAGAAGGCCAAGAGAATTCAGGGCCGTGACGACGTCGTTTCCAATACCCCAAAAAATTAAAACCTAAAAATCCTGTCACCCTAGCCTGCCTTTGATGCATAATTAATAACAGCATCCCAAATCGGTTTTGAAATTATAACATGTTTTATTTTTATATTATTTTATGAAATTAGTATTTATGCACTTTTATTTATTAAAGATTAAAGATTAAGAA